TGAGAGCTTAGCAACAGGAATGAAATCTATTTTCAACCTTTCCAAGTAGAACGTGTAATTTTAGCCAAGAATTTTAACTTCTGGAACCTGATATTGATACTATGGCTTTAAAGATTAACATAAAATTTGCTTTTATGCATATATATATATATATATATATTTGCATTTTTTGGAATTTGGTACTGTTTTATAAAAAAGTGAAAGAAGAGTGAAAAGGGAATGTTGGAGCTGAGCTGCAAAATATAAACAAATGATTACATATTTTTAGGTTTAAAACTCTTTCATCTTATCATTTATTCTCTCAAGATCTGCCAGAGACACTTTTAGAAAGAGAGTTAGCTCAGAAATATTGCATTTATTCTGTTACACTTGTATAATTATAGAACCTATGAATAATTCCAGAAAACTCTCCAGAAATGTTGCACTGCTACAGTATTTGGCCCTCGGAAAGCACATGGTTCTATTGTGGTAAATAACAGAAAATAGCATAATTTAGCAAGTCATTAATTAAGTTAACAGAAAATGGAATAGCTATAAGGTGCAGGTTTTGGCAAGGTTGTGCATGTTCTCTCCTTTCCCATGAAGAAGAATGCATCTGCTTACCACTGATCTTCTTAATGTTTTAGATCCTGAAATACATCCTCAGCAGAGAGATAAAAGACAAGCCGAACAGGAGCCTGTCAAGAAAATTCACAGACTGGGCTTATGGTCCTGTTCAGTCTTCCCTTTACGATCTGACAGAACTAGATACCACCACAGACAATTCAGTACTGGAAATCATAGTCTATAATACAGATATTGGTGTAAGTTGCTTGTTATTAAAAATCTCTGTATATTTTCTAGCATGGCATTTGTTAAACACTGCAATAAAACTCCTGCAGGAGGCCAGACCAAAAGTTTGCATTACAATTTTAGCTCAATTATGCCTCACTAGAGCATGGCAGTTTATTGCAGTGCGAGTTGCAGTAAACAAACTGTATTTTGCCAGTTCAGGATTTGACATACATCCTGAAGCATAGATTTGTTTCTGGATCAACAAGGACAGATGCTGAATGAAATGCATAAAATGCATGCCTGAAGTTGTCTGAGTTTCCCTACAAGTGACAAGTGAAAACATTGCTTGGTTTCTTCTACAGAATCGTCATGAAATGCTGACTTTGGAGCCTCTGAATTCCCTTCTGAGAATGAAATGGAAGAAGTTTGCACGACGGATGTTTTTCATGTCATGTTGCTTTTATTTTCTGTACAATGTAACACTAACATTAGTTTCCTACCACAGGCCTAGTGAAGATGCAGTGAGTACAGCAACTTGAAAATTCATGTCTAGATGTTTAGATGTTAGATTTAGATGATTAGGTTGTTAGATGTTAGAATATCTGAGTGTAGTGAGACCAGGTTCTCCCACATTGGATCTACATATCTGGAAGGAAGGAGATCAGTAATAAAGGAGATAATTTCATATGTGTTTCGCAAAAGCCTTCCAAAAGTATCTTTATACAAAGGGAAGTAGTTAAATTTATGAAAGCATGAGAAGTTTTTTTTCTTTTGCTTAATTTCTAACAAACTGAGAAAAAAACTTTTGTTTCAAATATGCATGTTATAGATCTGGTCCTGTAAATCCTCAATGAAGAAAACTGTGAATGAAATGGAAGAAATTGCGTACCCAGAGGGCTACACACATAAGGCTTCCTATTATTTTGCCTTTTACCTTGCACATACTGAACTCAATCTTTCCTGTCCGTTTTGGACATGTCTTGCAGGCTCCACCTTATCCACTAGCACGAACACGTGGCGTGGGATGGCTGCAGCTATCGGGACAGGTGATGGTTATGTTAGGAGCGGTATTTTTAGCCATAAAAGAGGTAAGACTAAGTGTTTTGTTTGTTTGTTTGTTTGTTTTTTAAGATCAACTTCAAATGAATGATTTTGAAAAATCAGTTATGATACCTGCTTTCTCATTAGTGTCTCTGTATCTTATATATCCGTCTACCTAGAGTATAACCATCTTTCTGCTCAGGCCTTCAGATCTGCAATCCATTCTCTCCGATGCCTGGTTCCACTTTGCATTGTAAGTCCGGCTTGCACACGTTTGCTATTGTGTGTATATAGTATGTAGCATGTCTTATCTATCCCACTGTCATGAAGAATGTACGTACAGCTGTAGTAGATACTCACTTTTAAGAGATAAAACATCTAGAAAAGCTGAAGATGGGACTATACTTGGGAATGGGATAGGGGAGAAGAAAGGTTGTGGGCGGGGGGTTTATTCTGTAATTAGACAGTCTGAAATCACCCTTTGGGGGAAAAGGGTCTGTTTCTGTCTGGTAGAATTTAAGGCAGTGCTAAGATTAATCTAAATCGCTCTGCATTTGATTATTGCAGCAGCTAACATCTTCCTTGCATAGAGCTTCATGGAAACTCTGCAATGATTTTAACGGCTTGTTAAGCTAAAGCATTAATAATCATTTCAAAGATGCTGCTCAGAATTCCTAACCTCTCTTGTCAGAAAAATCTACATTAACCAGCTGCTATTGGGAGAATAGTTTAATGAAAGTAAACTTTAATGAGCATAACAGCATGTTAATATACTTAAATTTTCTCTACTTCCTATGTTATTGTTAAATTATAGTTCATAGGAGAGAATGGAATGAACTATGAAACTAGAAGTGAAGCAAAAGTAAAGAATTCTTGTTTTCAGATTTGTTGATTGTGTTGTTGGTTTTGTGCTAGTACATTCCTTTTACATAATGTGTTTGTTTTTTAACAGTTTTATACAAGCTATGCTTGTCATCTTCTCTGTCTTTTTGTACTTGTTTTCCTACAAAGAACACCTTGTGTGTCTTGTTTTGGCAATGGCCCTAGGATGGGCCAACATGCTCTATTTCACCAGAGGTTTCCAGTCCATGGGAATTTACAGTGTTATGATTCAAAAGGCAAGTATATTTCTTTTTACATCCCTTGTTATGGTGCTTCCTTATTTATATAACTCCAAGCATGCGTGTTCAGCAATTTGGATGTTCACATTGAAAATTCCTGGTTTTAGTCAGCAGAGTGCACTATATAATGCACTTCAATGGCAGAACCGGGCTATTTTCTTAAAATTAACAACATTGTATTAAATATACAAGTAAGGGGTGTGTGTGTGTGTGTGTTTGTGTTCTTCATTTCATAGAGCTATGCTGTATAATTGCGGTATCCTCTGTGATGCCACTTTTGTGCACTGTTATATTCACTCTTGGAAGCACACAGTCATACCAGGCTGTCACTCATATCATGAAAAATCAGACCTATAGTTAGTTCTCTAATTTTTCTTTCTGATAAATATTTATTTTTCAGGTCATCCTTCAAGATGTGATTAAGTTTTTAGTTGTCTATATCGTGTTTTTGCTGGGATTTGGCGTAGGTAAATATTACTGGAGAAAAGCACTGATGCTTTGTGTGAGTAAAAATTTTGGCATTATTGTGAATAAGAACCCTATTTTCATGATGAGAGCTCATGTTGGGGTTTCTGCTGGATATTTAGAAGTCAGGTTTAGGGTTTTAAACTCTGTCTAGAGACTATCTGAACAGATAAGTAATTTGGCTCTTGTTCAATTGTCTGCAACTTCCTTTGGACGTGGGCTTTTCTGACTTCATCTTGCTAATCTCCCCTTTACCAGCTGCTGTGCATGTTGCTGGGGCAGCTGTAGCTCTTTACTTTGCAGTGCATTTTGATATCTTTAGGATAAAATACAATGTATGCATAAAACACTATTGACATCAATTTTTTCTTTTTTCTCTCAGCTCTTGCTGCTTTGATTGAGACTTGCCCAGATGGTGGGGAATGCCATTCCAACAGTCTGGGCCCTGTTCTGATGGATCTTTTCAAGCTCACCTTGGGACTGGGAGATCTCGAGATCCAAGAGAATTCCAAGTATCCAGTGCTGTTTCTTCTTCTTCTCATAACTTACGTTGTGTTGACTTTTGTTCTTCTCTTGAACATGCTTATTGCATTAATGGGAGAGACTGTGGAAGATATTTCTAAGGAGAGTGAGCACATTTGGAAACTGCAGGTTTGTTTGCTTAGAGATGTAGAAATGCACTGGCCAAAATCTCCTGAGCCTTACCTATGTTCATTTACCACACGGATAGATGGGATTATGTATATGGATACAAATAATGAAAATTACTTAATTGTAGTACTGGTATAACCTAGTAAGTCTGGAATTGACAGCTATTCTAAAGGTAATTTGAGGCTCAGATTTACAACTTCATGCACAGTCATGCACACACCTTTATGACAATCCCGTTGATATGTCACCAGGAAGGTGTGTTTTATGAGCTGCCCAGATAACGGTAATATATTTTGTTCTGGAGCTGCTTCTCCTGAATTTGTGCAATGCCAGACTTCACTCCCATTTCTCATAGCCTACGTGAGTCTGACCTTTTACCAAAATTAGTCACCTCAGAGTCTCAAGCTGCCAGAGAAGACACAGTCAGAATTAAGGGTTGCTTTGTGTGCTTGGCAGCATCCAACTACAGGACATACATCCCTGTGACAGAACATTGCATGACTGCGGCATTGCATGTTACTGACCCTAGAATCAGCTTTCTTGCTTTGTCTCTGCGTATGCCTCCTGCAGTGGGACTAATTAGAGAAAGATGCAGATTTCCTACTTGTGCATGCTAAATAACAAGTGGTATGAAATAATGTTTGCTGCTGTTGATGTCAGTGTAGATTACACATGATGAGAGAAGACATGACATGTTATGATGAGACATAGAGCCTGAAAACTGTATGCTGTGAAATCAGGCAATTTTGAATATGGTTAGCTACAGTTGTGTTGCTTCTTGTTGTTAACAGAGAGCTAGAACCATTTTGGAATTTGAAAAATTCTTACCACGATTTTTGAGGAAAAAATTCCAACTGGGAGAACGGTGTAAAGTGGCTGAAAATGACAGCAGGGTGTGCTTAAGGTAAAGCAATGATACAATATCGTGCTACTGATTCTACTTTGAATGTTTTTTCCAGCTTATTTACGTTAAAAGCCTCTTCAAAGCTTCTCTCTACACATCTTCTGCTTTTAATGCTTAGATTTTATATGAAGAGATAGTAGCTCCAATCAGGGGTTTTCAGCTGTTATCAGTGGTTAAAAAGAAGGAGAAAACAATTAGGTTTTTTTGGCAGAAAACAGATTTTCTTCAACTTCATCTACATTTTTGATGTATGAATGCCAAGTCTTTGCCAATAGATGTCACTTCATTGTAATCTCCCTTGAATATTAGTTTAAAAGAAATTATAATTGACTCTTAATTGATATGATTAACATATTGAAAAAATGTTACTCTGCTGTTTTATGAGAAATTCATATGCGTACTATTAATTCCAATCTTGTGCTCGTAATGTGTGAAATTATTAAATAGTCTGAGCATCATTCTCTTCCACATACCATACATAATATTGCAAAAGACATTCATCCTGTTAGTACTAGCAAAGCAGGTATTGGTGGTAAACCATGACAATTCCAAGAGGAATGGAGAAATCAAAGGGGAGGCGTAGCTGGGAAGCTGGAAGATAATGCATTCTAATAATACACTTTATATACAATACAAACAGAATTAACGAAGTGAAATGGACCGAGTGGAAAACACATGTTTCATTTATTAATGAAGATCCAGGGCCAACAGGTACTGCTGAGTTTTCCAATACTGTGTTTGTAAAACTGTTTTTTTTTAATGCTGTAATCTTTTAATATACTTTAAAATATAAACTCAAAATCTGGATCCTCAGCCACTCTCTTTACTCCTAGAGAAACTGCTGGCTAATATGGTGGGGCCATAGACTTATTTTGAATGATTTGGAGAGAGGGTTGGTCACTAATTCTTGTAAGTTATGTTGCAGCACCTAAATGTCATGTTTTTTTCTTTCCCATTAGTCATTTTTCTCTAAGCAGTTATGCGTGATCAAAGAGTTACATTCTCTTATGGCATTTGAAGGTGTAAGGCCGAATAACTTTTCAACAGAGAGAAAACACTAATTGTCATTGTAACATTGCTTTACTCCTTGCATAGTCATATATATCCTTGCAAAATTGGGCAGGAAGTCACACTGACTCTACCCAATAGTTTGCTGTGTTTTAGCCCAGAAGATTCATGTTTACATTTTGTGATACATATTGGATGACAAATTGCCCCTTGGGAATGTTAACCAGGAAATTCAAGATACCATCTGCTGACACTGTTGGAAGCGTGATACAGAAATGACCCAACATTGGGGTATCAGATGTCCTTCTGGCAGCCAGCCTCAGAGTTACCATAGGAGCATATGAGGATCAGAGAGATTAGCTTAGAAGCTGTTCTCTAGTCAATTAGTACATACAATTCTTAATAGAATGATCTCATTAAGAGGCAAAAGGGACAGACAGAGAAAAGGTTCTACATGAGATATGGTAGTAAACTGACAACTCATTGTTTAAAAAAATACAGTTATTTTTTAAACTTGATCTTGCAATTACACAGTTTCTACCATATCCTGTTTTGTTTATAATGCATTTTTTTGCAGATCCAAGTAAAGATCAAGATAATTCAAGAACTAATAGCAAAAACACCCTGAATACATTTGACGAAATGGATGATTTGCCTGAAACTTCTGTTTAGCTGCACACTGTTTCTGTTTTGCTGCACATCAGCATTGCGGGCTGATGTTGAAATCTTTGTTGATGTTTTAGACAGCTGCAACCAGCTGTGACACAAACTTTCAGTGACATGATCTGATAATGTCAACCCATGAAATCAGGGCAGCTAAGCTGAAATAAAGCAGACTATATCACTGTTTCAGATTTGCAGGGGAAACACTGTTGTCTGGGTTTGCACAACAACTACTCAAACTTGGCTCCAGACTTCGCACTGTTTGAAAGAGGGCCCAGTTTAAGATACTTAATCCTTTTTTGGAAAATTAATATTTTTGATCTAGTCGACTGTTTTGGACTCTCTAACTAATAAGAGACAATATGCTGAAAAAAAGTTCTTGCTATGGAGAAAAGTAAGGCATTTCAATTTTGAATACTACCAAATGAAATATGTTATTTTGAAATAATAGAGTTCTGAATATATTTGAACCTTTCCTACTAACTGTCAGTGTTACTGTGGGCTTGATCCAGCAAGCTGAAGAAGGCCTCAAGTGAAAAGATTCCCCCTTCAGTTCTCGTTAGCTTTGCTGATCAGTTTTCCTGTGTATAAAATCTAGGATATAATGAGTTTACTGCCTTTTCATTCTAGAGGATATATACATGGCTTGCTCTAAAATAATAGGGCAGAAACATAATTCATTTGATGAAGAATGCTTTTGAGTTGGGTCAAATCACAGTGACTTTAATTTTCCTGTCACTACTTGGATTTTCCATGCTGCTGCATGTTCTTGCATAGAAAGTGTTACCACATCTGAAGTTCTTTAAATTAACCTTTACAATCAACTACTTCACAAAAACTGGAAGTCAGTATTTTTCCCAAGAAATCAAAATAAGTTAAATGCAATAGTTTTACAGACCTTACAGGGGTTTTTTTGTTCGTTTGTTTTTTTAAGTCAGAGAAGTGTGTAATGCATTTCTATAGCACTTTTTATTTCATTATCTGTGATGACCTAGGACTATGATTTGTATTTTTAGTTTTCTATTTTATCTGTGAATGTATAAAAAGAAATTTGTGTTCTATAGACTTTCAGCATTCAGTTAATACAGTATGTGTCTTAACTGTCCTAGGTTTTCATCTAATGTATTGATTTGGTGCCTGTTTTAAAGGTGCTATTAAGAAAACGGGTAAACTCAGTTCTATGTCTGAATAATGAGTTGCACTGGGTTTTGATAGTTAATCCTAAAGCAGGCAAAGGGCTCCAAAAGACTGTTTCACCATGAAAGGGAGCATCAATGAACTCTCCAGCAGAGAGGACAGTGCAAAGCTATTTGCAGGAACAGTAAACACGGATCTTGCTACAACCTGCTCTTCTCTAGATGATGTATCCCGTGTTCCCCACAGGTTTGGCCCAGATGGACAGGGTCAAAGTGAAATCTTCCATTTGGCTACTTTTTTTTTTTTTTTTTTAAGAGGGGATGGGAATCTTGAGGGCAAGGATAGTCACAAGTATGTGTGTACTGGTATAATACCTAAACATTGTTCGGTGGCCTTACTAGGGTATGTGAATATGAGGAGAAAAATTCCTGCCTTCTGGGAATCTCTAATCTCTGCTGGTTCACTTTGTATGGGAGCTGACAACAACGAATACTGCTTTTTAGGGCTATGTAGTTCTGTTTGGATTCTTCTATATGCCAGTTTTTTTATGAAAAATACCTCTTCACATATACTCAGGAACTAGAATAAACCAGCTTGCACTGTACTCCGTGTTGCTCGGGACAGGTTTAAGACTAGTTCACATGTCTCTGTGCCATATTGAAGTTGCTATGCAGGCAAAGCCATCAAATAGAGAAGACGAAACAAATGCAAGGAACTTGCTGACATGAAGACCAGGCCCAAAAGTGTGTGATAAAACTGATGGGGGATGTTTCTAGCAGTTCCTGAGAAAATACTTGATGTTTGAGACCACAGAGCATTGCCAGATCATGCAAACCAGCTGTTTCCTATCTCATGACTGTTGAGGCTCTGATCAAGAACTCTATGAATGACTACAACAGATCAATCTGATTTTTTTATACAATATTTATTTAAATATAAAGAAATAAAACATGTCATTCAATAAACACCTCTTTTTGCCCTGTGTTTTTTATTATTGTCATGGCATCAGAACTTCAGAAAGCAAGGAATTTTTTTTTCGAAGTAGTGAGTAGATTGCTTAGCAAATGCTATATATTTGGGGGTTATCTGGACAAAGAAGCTTTTAGTGAATAGCTAATTATTATATGTATTCAGAATTTGTCAAGTTTTTCATGTTTTCTGTCTATATTTTCTGTCCCTGATTATTGTCAAATATGTTAAAACAATTTGAGAATGTTAATTCCCTATTTTCTTCCCCCACCTGCCCCCTCACTGATGGGATTTGTTTCTACAAATACAGAACAAGGGAGTCTTGAAATTCTGAGAAGTCTCTAGGTACAAAATCCTTCTTAATTTCTGAGACACCTACTTCTGACCTGTGCACTGCTCTTCAGCAAAATCCAAATAATTTTACCTCATCCTGCTGCTGCCTTTAACAGCTTTTGGGTACAACAGTTGATGAATACTGTATTTGGAAAATGTTACAAGCAGCTAGGTGGATGCAGCTAAAAAGTGTTTAAAAGCTATGAACAACTCCTGTCTCCAGTGCAATAGAGATTCTTGCAAAAAGGATAAGCACCTTTTTCAAAAAAGTAGAATACTGCTCTAGTAAGTTTCTAAGTACGGGATACTTTCTAAACTCAAAACTATTTGTCTAAAGATAAATCAGAAATAGTTTGTATTAATCTTACGGTATTGAGTTTCAACGGGTATTTTAGTGTTTTTTTTCCAAAAAGAAAAAAAAAATCATGTTTTTAGCATGAGCTGTAACTTCATAAACATAAAAAGCAGAACAAAATTAACCTAAGCCTTCCACTTAGGTGCAATTGGGGTTAGTCACATGTGCAGATAATACAAAGGAATTTTAATCCACAACTCCCCTCTCCCAGTGTCTTTCTCCCAACTTATTTCTTTTGTCTCCACACATGTGTGGGTTGTCTGAGGAATTATTTTCAAGAATCGTCCTGTCTTCAAAGTGTAGGTTATCTTAGGTTTGGGGTTATAAAGTAAAAATTCTGGTGGTGGTGGTTGTTGTTAATATCTAATTTGCAGAAAAAGCATAAGCATGTGTATATGTGACTCTGAAAGAAGTTTTATAGCTGCTAATCCATGTGTGGTTTATTGTTTAAACATTTTATATATAGTATGAATTAACTACATAATATTCTTTGTAAACTATTAGAATGGGTAAACAGGTAGTCATAATTCACACTATGATGGTAGTTTTGGTCTTAAAAGTGCTCAGCAGTGTTAATTAAATTACTCTTTTAAATTAGATTCTGCATTTATTTATTCCATATACTACTACTGTCTGAAAATCAATTTCACAGAGGAGAAATACATGCTTTGTACATAAAAACCCATAATTAGCTTTTAAGTATTCTGGTCTAAGATCTGAGGAGTTCTGCAGTGAGTTTTACTTTGACTGTTTTTACAAAAGCGTGTTTCTTTTCATAATATGCAGCTTCATTAATAAATGCCGGGTAGACAGTATTGTCCCCTTTGTATTCAATAACTTCTCCATCAAGAGTCAAAAATAGAGGATCGCCTTTGTTCAGTGGCTGCCAATCTTGATCCTTAGAGAAAGAAAATACAAGTGTTATTTTCTGCAGTTTATGGCAATTATTTCTTGGTCCTTTTAATCTTCACTATCTATGTTTGGTTTCTGGGCCTAGTTTTCAGGCTTCTACAGAATTCTCCAGCAAAGGTGAGCAAAAAGGAAATTGTATATTTTCATAATTGATTAAAAACAGACCTTCATTTCAGAATCTAAAAATAGATTTACCTTTTAGAATATAAGCTATCTTTCTATATATATGTTTTTCCTTTCAGTTTGGGGTTCAAAATCGGTTTTGGATTCAGAAATTGCCAAGTTGATCACTGGAATACTGTATAATTTACTAGATGGAGAGCCCAAACTGTTCAGTAAATCCACTGGTAATATTGTCATGGTTAATATGTTACCGTGTATTTTTAATAGCAAATAACACAAGCAGCACATGAATAATTACATACTGTTTCAGATGGAATTACTATAGATTTTACCTGCAGTTTAGGGTGAATAATAGCAATGACTTCATCATTTTTATTCCTGGGATAATCTACTTTCTCCATTATTTTGTAAACCTCAATTGTACATGGTGGAAATTCTTGTCCTAGAAAGAATGAATGTAATTCAAGGTTGAAAGGAACAACTGTGTGTTAAAAACAGCATTGCATTACTTATTCTCTGTAGAATGGCTTAAAGCATAATGTTGTACCTCATCAAAATTTACATGAGTGATTTGCTCGTGTATCATAAAAATGTCCAGGTCCAGCTTTTTAATCACCTAAGAGACAAACTGCAGAAAGAGGATCCAGGTGCATAGAGAGCCCTGACCTCAATTTGATCAGTAGTGCTGAAATGTCACCTTCCAGTCAGTCCTGTACACCTAATCCCTTTCCTCCAAAATGTAACATTTAATTGTAAAAAGCTGTAGCCCGATCTATTTCAAGAGAGTGTGTGTATTTTTTAAATGATCTATTGACTATTACCTTGCACTCTTGCATCACTTACTCTACCTTTATTGAAAAGTTGCACAAAATCAAGACCATGTCTGACAATCTTCCTCATTTTCTCCAAAATATCAGCTCTAATAACGCCCTGGGGTTGCGGACCCACCTCCACACCTGTTTACAAAGGAGGGAGATTATTAATAGAAGCATCACATATGACATGCTTAGAATACACAGCAGAAATACATAGCTCTTTACGTTTAAGCTGGATTTTAAAGTACAGAGTACAGGATTGCATATAGTTAGAAGAAATCTAGCTCATCAGTTAGTATCAAATAATCATATATACATTTTTGAAGGAGCTACTAAAGTAAGAGGAATCTCATAATAAAAGCTCATTTCTCTTATTCCTTTTCCTCCTTTTCATGCTACCTTTTCACAACTTACTGTTTAATATGAAAGGTGAAATAATTTTTGTCTATGGTTATGGTTTGCTCCCATACATGGAAAAGTCAACCACTTCTGTCCAGAACATCATTTCCTCCTTCCTTTATTACATCAATTCTTTTCCCCTTCTTGGCTAGTGAACAACATTTCATCATATTTAGAGGAAATAAACTTTTTTTTTCAAATGCTGTATTTTGTAAGCCAAGCAAAAACAAATGCTCTTGAGAAAGAAGAGATAATCGTGTATGGTTTATTTGGTAAATACTTTGTCAAACAAGTAGTTACAGCTATTGGGGCACTCTGTGTAATGTAATGAAATAAACAGATATGGAGAGAGGCCTATCTTTAATCACTTCTAATCATATCTCCATTTTTCATATTTACCAATAGGATGTTTCGCTACAGAGCGAGTCGTTGCATATTTCAAGGTTGGATGTTCAATCAGCAAAATAGGAACAGGTTCTGGAGCCAAAGCGTTCTGTGAAGATTGTTTAAAAATGCCTTTGTTATGCAAATATTTTTAAATGTTGTGCTGCAAAAGATTGCTGATGCAGAAGTGATTTACACAATGTCTTCAATATGTTGCCTTTATTTCATGGTCCTCAAAGAAGTAGGACATCTTTAGAAAATAAACAAAGCTGCATTTGTTAGTCCCCTTTCTGTTCGCTCATGCCAGACGTGCTTCACTGAACTGCACTGTCTGCTAATATAAATGAACACAGTTCTAGTCTTAGATTGCTAACAGGAAAAAAACCCTACTCAACCACGTTTCAAAACAGAATCAAAATAGTAAAAGCAGATTTCAAATATTTTTCATTAAGTGTGAACTAATCCTTTTTTTTTTCCCAGCAGAGTTCAAGTCTTAGTTATTTGATACTAAAATTGAATTCTTAATTATCTCTGCTATTAATAACCTGTCCTATGAGTCATTAGAGTTTTGCAGAAAAAGTGTATTTAAAGAAGCTACAGAGTAATATATAGTAATACAATATTACAAATAAGAATCTATTTTAATAGTTCATTTAAATTAGTTTTACCTTGATATAATGAGACATTTGAATTGTAAAGTCATCCCTGGAGTTTTCAAGAATAAGAGTACAACCCATGTTAGAAGTGGTGTTGTGAAGGTCAAAAATAAGGTCAAAGGCATCATCACTACCTTTTGGACCAAAAATCCGATTGATTTCCTGAGCCCTTCTCACTTCATATGGAGTATCTTCCACCACTGTTCTGCTGTTAATATTAGTACAAATAAATTAGCAAACTCAATCCATGGCTTTACAGTCAACAAAAATAGGTGGAGTCTTTCCAATTCTATGTTTGACTGGAATTAAAATCTCCCATTTTATTACCAGTCTGTTAAAAAGTTGATGAATTTGTGCTTGAACAAGGCAGTTTGACTGTTAATATAAAACAGATCTTGTGCAAAGGGCAATAAGAATTTTTTTAATCTGGACTTAGCTAGAGAGCTATTGACTTCTCCTTTATTTCTTTACCTTGATTTCTAGTCCCTACAACCCTGAATTTTTCTATATACATAAAACTAACTTGATTTTTTTTGACAACTTAAAGCGACTTCCAGGATTAGATCCAGCCCCTGCTGAAGTTGATGATCATTCAGAACATGGTTCATGCCTTTATATATTGGGCCTCAATTGCAAAGTCTTTCATAATTTGCTTCATGTCTTGTCCTCTCATGTTCCGATCAGACTTTTACAGTCTGTTATTTAAAGCCTTCTTGCCCCACAGATTAAATTACGGTGTAAGTTAAAGGATTTATGTGTTTGAGCCTCACTGTACAAGCAAAAATTTTTAAGCGAATTCTACATTCAAGCCATTTGTTATTTTGGGGTTAAAGGTCACAATTTCAGCAACTCCACAGTTAAAATAGCAGTGGAAATGTGTGTTAACAGTTTAATCTAGAAGGGAAGCTCCTGACAACTTTAAAAGCAGAAAATTAAAATAGCACAAAGAGCGGCTATTCTTACCCAAGGCTATCAAGGTCAAACACACGGTTCAGATCACAGTCAATGTATCTAGTGCATTTCTTCACAGCTCTTGGGTTGCATATAAATGGTTTCACTTCCACTCCTGTCCTTTGGATCTCAGCTCCGTGCTCTTGCCAGTGCTTGACCAAATATATCCCTGATAACTCATTACCGTGAGTTCCTCCAAAGATAGCGACCTTCCTTACCGGAGGGCTATGAGCAACAGCACTGGAAGTCATGGTATTTAGCAGCTTTAAGAATCGCTGAAAGCAAAACAGAAAATAATGAAGTAAAACTTGCGTTTTCAAGCAAAAAAAATCTTTTAACTTTTTGTAACAGAAGCCTTTTTAAGCCTGTTTAGGTCAGATGTAATGAAAGGGTATTAACATTTCTGTTACAGTTTTGGATTCCAGTTGCAAGGGAGGGAGTTGCTTGTGACACTCCTCCCTCTAAAGGCTCCCTCCCCTTTATTTACCAAATTTAGTAATATCTCTGTTAATGGTGGGGTCATACAATTCACAAGTTAACTTCTTCAGGCAATCTCCATTAATATATGAAAAATAGGTAAATAGTGTACTAATGAAAAAAAAA